GATGCCCCAACCACCCCAGGCTGGGATGCTCCAAGCCCCCAGCCACCAGGCTCAGGCTCCTCCCTGACCACCAAGGCCCCCACTGGCTTAGACCCCACCGCAGCCCAGTAAAGACCACCCCTATTCTCATGTCCTCTAGGCAACTGGAGATCACTGGGCGCTGGGAGCGACTCCTTGAGCGTCTCCGAGGGCAGAAGAAGCAGATGGCAGACCTGCAGGCTGTGCTGAGCTTGCTGCAGGAGGTGGAGAATGCCTCCAACCAGCTCAAGGAGCTCCAGGTGGGCCCCGCACCAGCAGACAGCGCCCCCCCCAGGCCAACACAGCAGGTGCCGGAGCACGGGAACTCAGGGGGCCCCAGTGCTCTGGGGCTGCAGCAATCACTTGTCCACCCCTGGCAGGTGCTGGCCAGCTCCACAGCCTGGGGGCAGCAGTTGGCAGAGACAGTGCAGCTGCTGCAGAAGCAGGACCTGCTGGAGGCCCAGGTCTCGGCCCACGGAGCCCATGTGCGCCACCTTGCCCTCCAGACCGCGGAGCTGGACTCGTCCCCGGGCACTAGTGTGGAGGTGCTGCAGGCCAAGGCCCAGGCGCTGGCCCAGCTCCACTGGAGCCTGGTGTCCCTTGTCAAGGCCCGGTAAGAGCTCAGCCCCCTCTTCTACCTTCTCCAGGATTTTCGTGTAACCCAGTGTACCTCCTGCCCAGGTTAAAAATACTGCTGACTTGGCAACTTCCTCCACGTTGACCCTCACCCCCCTGTCTTCTGGGCCCCCTGTTGAGTCATCCAGAACAAGAAAACTCCTGTCTCAGGGGAAGTGTCTGAGCCTGGTGGGGAGGCCACTCCCCAATCCCTTCGGGGCCCCTTGCCGTCCCTCAGGCGGGCCTTGCTGGAGCAGAGCGTGCAGCAGGCAGAGTTCCTGCACAACTGTGGGGAGGAGGAAGCCTGGCTGAGGGAGCGCCAGCAGCTGGTGCAGGAGGAGGCCGTGGGCCGGGACCTCAGCCAGATCAGAGCGGGCCTGCGGAAACACAAGGTACCTGCCGCCCGCTGCCCTGCCAGTCCCCACCTTGCTGCCACCCTTTCTTCCCTTCCCTTCGCCCAGCTCCCGACTCTGCACCCCGCCAGGCCCTGGAAGCCGAGCTGCGCCACCACCAGGCCGTGTGCGCTGATCTTGTGCGGAGGGGATGCGACCTGAGTGCCTGCGGGCCCCCCACGCGGCCGGATCCCCGCGAGAGGGCCGAGGCGCTGCAGGGCGCGTGGCAGCGGCTCCGGGCCCGGGCGGCCCGACGGGGGG